TGATATAAGAGAAACTTCCTAACAATTACAACTATTCACCAGTGGAATAGGCTTCCTTGGGAGCTGATAGCTTCCCTCACCACCACCCAAATCTTGCAGCACAAACTGGTTAGCCACCTGACTTAGAGTCATGATAACCACTGAAATCCCTTCCAGCTCTGCGATTCTGTGACTGAAGGTAGAGGCAAAGATTATTTTCAAGACATTGCATCGCTCTTCAAGGTCAAGTACATATGCAAACATATATGCAAATATGTCTATATACAGAAGCCCAGAACCCAAAGACCTCTCTGTAATGCCTTTGAGAACCTAGAGTGACCTCTGGGCCTATGATAAGCCAATACTAATGGAACACAGGCTCTGACAGGTTCTACCAAGCTAGAAAGACTCTAAGGACAGACTGATAAGACTATGTCTGTTATCAGAGAGGATCAGCCTAGCTAATCCAAAGTGGCTCATCACCAGAACAACAGGTGATAATTTTTTTTTTGCCCACTCATATAGACTATCTAGTAAATAGTTGATCAGTATTGGTAAAAGGAGTACCAACATCAATGAAATCACATGATTGTAAAGTATTAAAGAATCACCCAAAAGCAAAGGGCTAGCAAAGCCAAATGGAAACGTTTAATAAGAGATGAGGCCAGTGTGATTCTGTCGTGGCTCAATGCTTTCTGATGATAATTATTATGCTATATGACATTTATAAAAATGCTTTTTAAAGTTTGCTAAGTGCTTTGCATATGTTATCCCAAGTGATCTCATCAACTCTGTGAGACAAGTACTATTATTATCTCCATTTTATATATGAGGAAACTGGAGCTCAGAGAGGTTAAATTACTTGCCCAAGATCACAAACCTAATAAGTTTCTGAGACAGGATCTGAACCCAGTTCTTCCTTACTCCAGGTCTCTACAATCCAACTCGGTCCTTAGGTTTATATCACCAGCCCAGACAGGGCAACCAAAGAACCCTAGTTCTGATGGTCCCATTTCGAACAAGCCAGGTGGTGGCTGCCAATGAATGGGCTGCTGGGCCTAGAGTCAGGAAGACTTGAGTTCAAATCTGGCCTGAGATAATTACTAGCTGTGTGACCTTAAGCAAATCTACCTGCCTCGGTTTCTTCAACTGTAAAATGGGGATAAAAATAGCACTTACCTCACAGAGTCATGGTGAGAATCAAACGAGACATTTGTATAGTATTTAGTGCAGGGCTTATCAGGTAATAGGCACTTAATAAATGTAGGTTTCCCTTTTGCCTTCCTCCCAAAACCTTTCTATTCAGAGGAAACAAAAGAACCAGAGAAGCCACTCTCCTTGCCTTCAATCACAGCAAAACAAACCTAAGATCCATTAAATGCACACACACAATCATTATGTAACACTATTATTCAATTTTGGCTAGATGAGAAGGGATAACATCATTGACATATAATGAAATTTTTCTTCTGCTTTCCTGCCATCTTTTGGCATCTGTTGACCTTTCCCCAAAAGAATGAAATAAGAATGGTACAACTGCATGGTACAATAGAAAGAGCACTACATTTTGAACTAAAAGAGCTGGATTTAGATTCCAGCTCTGCCACTTAATCTCTATAAGTTGTTTAACTTGCCTAAATGTTAGAGTTCCTCATCTATAAAACTGGGGGGTTGGACTAGATGGCCAATAAAATCCCTTATATTCCTAAATGTATGATAATGTGATCTGCATAGAAAGAAAGAAGGAAACAAGCATGTATTAGGCATCTAGTGTGTGCCAGGCACTGTGCTAAGCCCTTACAAACATTACCTTATTTGATCCTTACAGCAATTCTGGGAGGTAGGTGTTATTATGATCCCAATTTTACAGTTAAGGAAACTGAGGCAGACAAGTTAAATTACTTGCCCAGGATCACATAGAGAGTAAGTGTCTGTGGCCAGATTTGAACTTAGGTTTCCCTGACTCCAGGCCCAGCTCTCTGTCCACTGTACCACCTAGCTGCCTCAATCTACAAAATGAGAAATTAAATAACCAGGAGAGGACAACTGAGGATGCCTACAATGCCAGTTTCTACAGTACTTTAATGTATACAAAATGCTTCCTTCATGACAATACTGCAGGTATTACAGGTAATATACATATTAATTTCCTCATTTATAGTTGAGGTAACTTGGGCTTATAAAAGTGAAGTGTCAGGACTTTCATTCATCTCCTTGGCCCAGTCACACAGTTAGCTAAATGTTCAAGGTGAGATCTCTAGAAGGTTAAGAGGGCATCTTTCTTGGTCTTTAGATGAACCATTAGAACTTTTAACTATCTGTTTTCCTAATTCTCAAACAAGTGGCTAAGAACTGTTCTCTTCAAAATCCACAATGGAAAAGGGAAAGAGAAGAAAAGGAACCAACAAAGACTAATAAGGAAAGAATCATAGAAGCATAGATCTATAGAGCTAGAAGGGACCCCTCCCCAGAAGTCAAGTCCAACCCCTTCATTTTACAAATGAGGAAACTGAGGCCCTGAAAAGTTAAGTGACTTGTCCTAGGTCACATAGGTTGCAAATAGTCGAAATGGGATTCAAACCCAGGTCCTCTCACTCTATCACTCATGCCATTATAACTCTAAAACATTTCATTTTTATCAATCTACCACCACTCTAAAGAACAATCTCTGTCCTTCCCCAAACCTGCAGTAATGGATAGAGTCATGGTCTTGGGGTAAAGAAAACCCAGGTTCAGATCCAGCCTTGGACACTAAAAGAATGGCCACAGATAAGTCACAACTTTTTTGTCCTTTTTTCCTCATCTACAAAACGATTATAATAATATCTATGATAATCTACCTCTCAGGGTTGTTTTGAGCCTTAAGGGAAATTATGCACATCAAGGATATGGCAATTTTGAAAGTAATATAAAAATGTTAGTTATTTTTAGAAGGAAGCCAAATAGAGAGGCTCCTTGTCTTCCAAACATTGGTATGCCTATCAAGCTGCTTCCAGGTGAAAAGGACCTTTCCAGTATCACCCCCTCTCCTGAGATACCCACTAACTAAACTCATCCACCTGCCCCAGATGCCAACAGGAATTCCAATGCAAGGTGAGTTACAGCTTTCTGAGATGAGGAGCAGTAGCACAGGAACCATCATGGGCAACCTGACATTTGGCCCATTCCAAACACTCTTGAAAGCTTTCAAATGTAATGGTATTCCCAGCACAGGCAGAGCTGCCACAATCAAGGACTTTCATAAATCATTCATATAACCACCTCTACCCCACCCCCATGAATCAGCTAGATGGAGAAGTGATAGATTCATCAATCAATAATCAACAAGCATTTCTTGAGATCTATCATGTGCCAGGGCACTGTATTGGGCCCTGGGACTACAAAGATGAAAATAAAACATTCCCTGCCTTCAAAGAGCTTAGAGTCAACTGGAAATGTCTAAAAAATAAGGTGGTAATCAAAGGCTACAGAAAATGACAGGTATTAACTACTTTCTAACTCCTTTTTCTCAGTTTCCCATATCAGCTAAGTAAAGGAAGATTTCTTGTCTATTATCATCACTGAGTTATATAACAAACATTTGTGATATATTAAAAAAAAGCTACTGTTTGTCATTATATTTTTTACATCACATAGGTTGTAAAATGGAATTTCCCTCTCTTAAGGTTCTTAAGAAAGGGCTGACAATCATCATTCCATGGTGGTTTGGGTACAAGATTGTCTATAGACAGGGGAATAGAATAGAGAGGACCTTTGGGTTCCTGCCACCATGATCCAATCAAGCATTTAGTTTCTCCCACCCTATACTCCAAACAAAAAAAAAATGCTCAGTGGAGCAGTGTGTAATTTTTTGGAAATAGCTTAGGCTTTACTGTCACCCAGAAACTTCATCAGAAACAATGTCCATTTATCGTAATATCATCATGACAAGGTACAGCCCCTTGCTGTCACAGAAGATTAAAAATACTGCCAGGAGTTGCTGCTCACATGACAAGAAACAAATAATTTTCAGAGATCTCCACAACAGCATGAGAATGGAAAAGAAAGAGAGGAAATGTTGGTGAAGATATAACAACCTACAGAAATGCCATTTCTTAAATAATGAGAGGTTAAGAAAACACTTAGCACCCAGATCTGGAACCATTCAGTGCCTTAGCCCAGCTGCAGTAATGTCTGAAAGGGCAAAACATTTCACTACAACCACTTCAAAGAGAGCAAGAAGCAGTGTACATGGCCTCAGAACATACCTAGAAATATCCTTCTGTCCTTTGGCTCCTGGGATCCAGGAGGGGAAAAAAAAATCATCTCCAAAGAATAAGAATAAAGAAAAGGCAATAGGAATACAGGAGAGTATAACCTATGTGGTGGTTAGCACAGTGAGTCTGGTCAGATCAAAAGAGTACTATTTTAATCTCAAAATCACTTCAGGGTACAACAGGCCACTTTATCAAAGAATCACAAAATCCCAGAACTGGAAAGGATTTCAGGTCATTTAGTCCCACCCCAACATGAAGCACAAATCCCTTCCATAGTACTCCTGACAAATGGTCATCTAGTTTCAGCTTGAAGCAATGGATAACTTCGAGTGATGGATAACTCCCTATCTTCCAGGATAATCCATTCTGTGTTGGGATAGCTCTAATTGTTAGGAAGTTCCTCTTTATATATTGGGATGAAATATGCTTTCCTGTAACTTTAGTCTATAGTTCCTAGTTCTGCCCTGTGGAGCCAAGCAGAATAAATCCAATCTCTCTTCTTCACAAAAGAGGATCAGTTAACATACCACCCCCTTTGTGCCATACTTAAGCTAGGTATCTGAAAACATCAACAGACCCTGAGATATGTGATGTCTGTACAGCAAAGGGCACACCATAGTCTGATGAAGTCTAACAGGTGCCAAGCATACACTCAACATTTCTGCTGAATCGAATTAAATTCTCTGCCACTAATAGGCTCTGTTAGGGTGAGAATGGAGGTATAATGGGGAAAACCTCATATGCACAGAACATGCACAGATGTACCTGGTAAGGTAAGTCGGCCATCCTTAAATAAGTTTCCATTTTCAAACAGAAAGGAGACAAACTGGGGACACCATTGTTTGGCCTTGAGAACTGATGCAAAATAATAGCATCTTTGGAGTCAACCTCTTGCTCTTTCCTGTCAAAACCAGAACAGAAATAAAAAAACAAAACAAAACAACAACAATAGAACATGTGTTATACATTCAGCAAACTGAGTTCAAAAGCTACTGAGGCATGGCTCTTTAATGAGATAGTAGACCTGTTTTATTCATCAAGTCTTGACAGACTCTAATGCACTTAGCTTACAGAAAGAAAGCTTAGCCAATACATCAGAAAAGATCAGGAAATTTAGAAGTTATCACTAATAGACGGTGGCTTAAGGGCTTAGGAAAAATGTTTTCAACCTTCTTTGCTTGAGTGCATAATGATAAAGATGATGATGATGATGACAAGGAAGTATACGATGATGATCTTTATATAGCACTTTTGTATTTGCAAAATGTTTTACATATATCATCTCATGTGAACCTCACAACAACCCTGTGAGGTAGGAACTACAGAAAATGGGTAAAACTCCCCATTTTACAGATGAGGAAACCTGGGTTCAGAGAAGTAGTTAATTGACTTGTCCATGATCATCAAACAGCTACTGTCAAAGTTAGAATTTGAACCCAGGTCTTTCTGACTCCAAATTAGGCATTCTATCTACTACACCAGACTGTTTCTCCTCAGATATAAGTAGGCTCTATGAACAAGAAAAGCATTTTTCAGAATAAATCCATTTCATTCACTGTGGATTACATTTCTTCTATTGGGGCCAAGTTGGATGGGACTGAAATATTCAATCTATAAAATCTATAAAACCACATTACTTATAGAGACTCAGAAATAACAGTCTGCCTATGCACATGCCACCAGAACTGCCTGCAGGGAACTAGCTCGGCTTAGTGGGTTAGTCCCAAAGATCCAGGTATCATGAAGATCTGGCTTCTCATCACTTTCCCTTTGCTCCCAATATCAGCTGCCTCAGCAATATCTTTTCCCTCACTTCCAGTCATCTCCTCATTCTAGGAAGCCTATCACCACCCTCCCTTTTGTTATGTTCCACTCCCAAACTTCTGTCTCATTTTATTTTTAAGCTTTGGCTACTCTCTTCTTGGAAAGTAGTAAACTGTTTGTTGGTATCCATGAAGCACAGACTATTGTTAAAAAGAGATAAGGTGTTCTTAACCCTTATTTTCCATCCTTTCTCATAAAGTCCCCCTAGATCTCTCCCACTCCATTCATTTCAGGAAGTGATTTGAATTGCCATCTATTTTTACTCTATATTTTTTCCAACCCAAATGACAGAACTTACTGACTTTAGCTTTCTCTTTGAAGCTCCTAACTCTCTGGTTTATTTATTTGTCACTCTTAACTTGGGGTAGTATTAGTCAATATACCTCCTCATACTCTCCTTAACCTGAGTATTTGAAAACATCAACAGACCCTGAGACCAACTATGGTCATCTGGTAAAGAGCAGGCTATAGTCCTCTGATGTCACACTATGCCACTAAGCATTTGCTTAACATTTTTGATAAATGAGATGAAATTCTCTGCCACTACTATCATGAAGGGTGATAGAATGGAAAAACACTGAACTTGGAGTCAGAAGAACTGGACATGAGTCCTAACTATGCCAATTACCAGCTATGTGACCTCAGGAAAATAACCTTTTCAGATCTCAGTTTCCTCATCTGTAATTAGACCAACACTTATAAAATATACCTACCAGGGTTATTATAAGACTCACAGAATGTTAGAGTTGGAAGGTACCTTAGAGATCATCCTACCCTCCTCCCCCTCCCATTTAACAGATGGGAAGGCAGAGAGGGAAAATTACTTGCTCAATGGCACACTTTTAGTTAGTGGCCCAGCCAAGAATGTGTCGGCTAGGTGGCAAAGTGGATAGCCTGGAGTCAGAAAGACTCATCTTCCTGAGTTCAAATTTGGCCTCAGACACTAGCTGTGTGATGCTGGGCAAGTGATTTAACCCTCTTTGCCTCAGTTTCCTCACCTATAAAATGACGTGGAGAAGGAAATGGCAAACCACTCCAGTATCTTTACCATGAAAACTCAAAATGGGGTCATGAGTCAGACAGAATTGAAAAAGGACTGACTGAACAACAATAAAAGAGCCAAAAATAGCATTTGGACCTCCTGACTCCCAGACCTGTGCTCTTTCCACAATACTCTGTTTTTCTAGATAATTCAAGCAAAGGCTTGCTTTGTAACCTAAAAGTGCTATATAAAATCAACAAATTCAATAAGCATTTACTAAGTGTCCTGCACAAAATAGGTGCTTTATAAATAATTGAGTGATTATTTGTTATCATGCCTACTGAAAGGCATTTTCTTCTCCTTTATTGCTCTTAGGCTTCATCTACATTTGAAATGATTCCACTTAAAGTTAATGCAAGGTTTTTTGTTTTGTTTTTTTTTTAAACTTTGCACAGATATTCGCTAAGAGTACCAACACTAAGGGAAAGAAGTAGAGTTTCAAAATGTTTGCATTTTCAAAATTTTTGCCACATTAATGGCCATAAAACTGAAGTTAATGAGTGGAATATTTTGAACACTCCTCTTCACTAGTCAAAAGAATGGAAATAAGTTTTTCTTTCCGGATATCCAAATGCTTTCTTTTAGATGAGAATGCTTTACATGTTAAGATACTAGCAAAGAAAACATTTATTTAGGCTATACTTATAAAAGCACAAAGTAAAATGTGGACCAAGTATCTAGGTACCTAGTCCAAAGAAGGCTGGCTATCAAATGGGATACTTTTAATTAAGGACAGACCATATCAAAATGGAATCTTCTATATAATGACAGAAATCTAATGTTGCATACTTAGTAAATGCTTGTAATTAATTGATTGAATTCACATAAAATTTTTCCACAACTTACTCCTAGGTGACACAGTGGATCAAGTGCTAGACCTGGAGTTAGAAAGGCCTAGGTACAAATCCCACCTCAGACACTTACCAGCAATGTGACCCTGGGAAAGTAATTTAACCTGTTTCCTCAACTGTCAAATGGGGATGATGATAATATCACCTACCTCACAAGGTTGTTGTGAGGATCAAATGAAATAATATTTGTGAAGCATTTTACAAACCTTAAAGCACCATATAAATGCTAGCTATTACTATTTTTATTATTACTGAGTAATTCAGATTTTTTGCCTATTTTCCGGATAAATGAATCTGTGTATACCTGTTTTCCCACAGTTTAGCCCAAATCCAGCCTAAATAAACTCACAAAGTTTGACTCTGATATAACTCTATTTCCCTTTTAGCACATTTCTTCTCCTTTTAAGGTACTTCTTGCCAGGTACCCACTGAAGACAGCATAAGACAAAGAAAAAAAGTACTGGTTCTAGAAATAGAGGACATGGGTTCATATCCTACCCTACCTACAGCAAATCAATCTTCTGATTTGTAAAACGGAGTGGGGAGGAGGGAGTGGATAGCCTCTGAGATCACTTCCAGCTCCAGATCTAGGCTACCTAGGGGACATTAGGTACCCCACCTGGGTCTGCCTTGCTGGGCAGTACTCTATTATCTGGACCTCACCTTTCCTCTTTTCCCCATCAAAACTTTCTTCATAACCTCCTACCACTTAGGGATCATATTTGTATCATAGAATGAATTTTCACAGACATAATGACTTATCCCTCAGGATTTAGGGAATATTAGTCACCAGTGAGGAGACATTAGAAATACAAGGGAATTTCTCTATGGCCAGGTCTGACCACCAAGATACATTTCAAAGTTATTTCTGGAATACAGTAAGTTAAATAAATACTTTGAGGGTACATCTATACATATAACTGACATGCAGAACAGAGCTAAACAAGTCCTAGGAGTTAAAAGAGAGAGAGAAAGAGAGAGACAGAGAGAACAAAGAAAGAAAGAAAACCTTATGGCCTGAAATCTAATTAAGATAAAATTGGGCTGCTGTTTCAATTTTTTATTCCTTCCTGCAGTAAAGTCCTATTCTAATGACTAATAGGGGCCTGGGTTTTCAAAGGCTTTGACAGAGGGATGCAAAATCTATTAGACTCCCTGATCAACTAAGTCCTTACAGTGATGGTCTACATATGTTACATTCATGGGCCAGCCACACTAATGTGTAGAGAAGGATGGCAACAGGTGATAAGATCCTTTCCCCAAAACAACTAATGAAAACCATCTCTAAAAGCATGGAGGAGTTGTTATCTGCATCAGTGGAAGGAGTCCTCAAACAGATAGAACCATGGATTATTGAAGTATTTAAGTTTGAATTGCCTAAATCATTTGAATAAATTGCTTCAAATCTCTGCTTTATTTTACATAGGTCAACACATCCTGAGACATAAATTCTTGTGTGAGCAAAAAATGTAGGCACAAATATAACCTATAGTGCTAAGAGAGCCAAATAGCTATACAGCTCAAAACAGAAAACTCTGCAGATGTGGACATGATAGTTTAAAATCCAAACCCTTTCCCCACAGCTATGCTGTGTAAGATTCCTGTTCTGCAAACTGAAGAATCCAAATATACAAGACAATGTCATAACACATTCTCAAATGTGAGTGTTTCAGGATTTTGTTTTCTGTAAAGATTATTTAACAGACTTTCTGGAAGGGGAATGGCGAATTGGGAAAATGTTAACAAAAGATAATAGAAAAAATTAAAGGTCATTACAGAACCTCTGTTTACACTACATTGTGGAAGATTTCCCCCCACTGAAGAAAAAAATATGCATATGATTCTCTTTACAGGAGTTTGCCAAAAAGACATTTCAGTCCTTTGAAGATGCTTTATATGAAATTGGCCAACATGTTATCTTGGTTCCAGGGACCTTTCAGCAACTTAAGGAAAGCTTAAATACAGCATAATTTTCATCATGACTCCAAGTACCCGTGAGCCACCCCCACATCCTTCCTCAAGATAAACACCTTCCTTTCCAGTTGGCTCCATCAGCAGTTAGCTGAAGCCACCATTTTCGAGATTTTCCACATCTATCCCTGTAAACAAACTGCAGCAAGCTCTACTACCATTTCTAGCACTTCCAGCTTTCCTGGTAAAGGCAAACACACACACATATGTGGTACCCTCACTCCCAGATATTCACGATGCTCACAAGGTTATTCAATTGGAAGTTGAAGCTGGGAGTCCCAGCAGCCTGCTACCATGTGTATGAAAACAAGGACGCTGCCCTGTTCTTTCTGCAGGCAGCTCTAAACAGGTTAATACTGCATCATTTCCCAAAGCTGCCCAAACACATCGGCTTAAGCTTAAAAACAGCCCTTCAAAGACACTACTACACTAGCAGCTGCTGAATTTGCGACTACAACCTCTCTGAAATTGAAGGAGGAGCCAGGTGGGTTAAATTGAGGGTGCTCAAAACTCATATTCCAACACAGTCTTCCAATCAAGTGCTGCAGCCTGTTTCATTTTGTTCACGAAATAAACAAATCCTCGGTCTAATTCAGCTTCCAAAACCCAGGCCAATCAATATTATAAGTAAAATAAAAAACTCAAGTACCCTGCCATTATCCTTCGTAAGGACCACTGCCTCGGGCTATTTCTGCTTAACACCAGTATGCGTCTGGGTAGGTTTGCTGGCCACTTTCATTCAGCAACTCAACCTCCTGGAAACTCAAACACTGCACACACCGCCAGGTGACCACTGAGACACCCTCGGGCAGAACGACTACCTAGACTGCGGGCATTTCTGTGACCCGGCCTGGCCTAAGGAAGAGAGGAAGGGCTGAAGCGGACTCAACTCTCACCTGGTGTAGGGCAGCGTGCCTGGCCCGCCCCCCGCCCCCACCCGTGTCAACAACGCCCCTGACTGCAGCAGCAGCAACAGTAGCGGCAGCAGCAACGACAGGCACCGCTGCCTGCTCAGGGGCCCTCTACCAGTCTCCCTGGGCTCGCCGTCTCTCGGTCTCACCTAATGGCCAGGAGCTCGTGGAGCAGGTACGCCGCTGCAGCCAGCAGGGCTCCCCCAGTCAAGTACAGGGTTTTCTTCCACCAGGAATCCGAACCCAACCCAGCCATGATCCCTCCGTAATCCTGCAAAGGGAAAGCGATGATGTCCCCATAAAAGGTATAGGGCTCCTCAGATGCGGCCCACAAGCCGAAGGAGATGCTCTGGTTCCGGCTCAGATCCACCACACACGACCTGGACGAGGCAAAGCCAATCCCCCAGTGCATGCTGCGCGGCTGGCGCCCGGCGGCCCTCGGCTGGCCAGGGCGGTGCGCATGGGACAAGGAGGAGGAGGAAGAGGCGATGGAGGAGGGCTCCAGCCGAGGCGTCAGGAGCGCGAGCGAGCTCAGCGAGCAGCTGGCGCGGAGAGAAGTGGAGATGGAGGAGGAAGAGAAGGAAGAGGAGGAGGAGGAAAAGCAGGAGGAGGAGGAGAAACAAGAGCTGGAGCAGCAGCAGCAGCAGCAAGAGAAACAGCAGCAGCACCTGGCCGGGGTCGCTCTGGCTCTCTCTGTAGCAGCCGAAGCCGCAGCCACCACCGGCGCATCCTCCAGCTGCTTCTCTTTGCCTTTCTTTGTGCCCAGAAGAGCCTGAGTGATGTCATTGCTCCTCAGGGCAGGAAAATAGATGGGGAAGAAAATCACCTTCGTACCTGCCCCACCCCCGCCCTTCACCCCTCACTTCTCAAGTCCCTCCTCCTCTTCCTCCTCCTGCACCAAGCTCCTCGGACCCAGACTGGGGAACCACTGGCGAGGCCATGTCTAAATTTGGGGCTGAGCCCTCACGGCCCCGACAGTCCAGTCCATGGTTTCTGCCCCTCTAAGCGGCGCTCGCTGCGAGGCACGCCCGAGAAAAGATCTCTCTGGACCAGAGGGGCTGTGGCAGGCTGGGAAGTCTGCCTGACAATGAGAGCACGTCCTCTCCGCATCCTCCAAGGGGGATCGTTGCAAGGTCCCTTCATCCTCTCCACCCTCCGAGCCTCATCCTCCTCCCGTGTTCTGTCTTCTGTTCTAAGTGTCTGGGAAAGGTCACAGGCAGAGGGCATAACTCACCTCAAGCTAAGAGGGATATTCAGACCAGCAGACCAGCGCTGCTGGAGCTGGGGAAGGGGAAAGGGGAAAGGGAAGGGGGCAGGGCCGGGAGGCGAGGGGAGGACCCGGATTGATGTCTGGAATTACACTGATTGCCCACTAAGGCACCAGTTGTCTATTTGAATTGAAGAGAAAGTCTGTCAGTCAGTCAGCCAACTAACATTTATTAAGGGCCTGGTATGTGCAGAGCATTGTGCTAAGTGTCTGCGGAAAGAAGGAAGGATGAAATGAAAGAGAAACAGAGAAAGAAAAGAAAGAGAATTTAGGCTTTGTTATATGTTCCTTGGGATGGGGCATGGGCTTGTTTTTACCATTCAAAAAAAAATACTAAGGATAGGAAAGTTAGTCCCAGGAAAACAGCCTCAAATATTGCCTCCTTTGAGATCTTGGAAAGGGATTTCCCAGATCCACATCCAGTATCTTTTGGTTTAGAAAAATCTCCCAGAATTAAAATTTTTTTTTCCTTGTGAAGTTATGAAGAACACCAGCAAACTTTTTGTTTGTTTTTTGGTAAGGCAACTGAGGTTAAGTGACTTGCCTAGAGTCACATAGCTAGTAAGTGTTATGTATCTGAGGTTGGATTTGAACTCAGGTCCTCCTGACTCAAAGGCCAGTGCTCTATCCATTGTGCCACCGAGCTGCCCCAAACTTTTTTTTTTAAGTATACAAAACACTGGGCTGGGATTTATGAAAAGCAAAGATAGGAAGCTTTCAGTGAGACAGGGGCCACTGGGTTTCAAAATCAAGAAAAACTGATGACCTTAAAGAAAATAGTTTCATTTCAGTGCTGGGAACAAAAATCTGAGGTTGATGTGCTGCGTTTTGTCTTTCAGCCTTGCCCTATTTTCCCTGACCCCTTTAGGGGTTTTTTTGGCAAAGATACTTGAGTGGTTTGCCATTTCCTTCTCCAGCTCATTGTATAGTGAGGAAACTGAGGAAGATAGAAATTAGATGACCTGCCCAAGGTCACACAGCCAGTAAGTGTCTGAGGTCAGATTTGAACTGAGGTTTTTCTGACACCACGCCTAGTGCTTTATCCACTGTACCTAGCTGCCTCTAGATAGTAGGTAGTATCTCACCAAAAAAAAAATACTGTACTCTCTTTTTGGAATAAGCTTGTCAAAAAATGTATAATAAAAAATTATCCTAATGCAAGCATTATTCTGCTTATGGAGAGAAGTGTTCAAATTGACAAGAGTTTCCTGAGACCCTCCAACATCCTTCTCAAATAAAGCATTTTGAAATCACAATTTATAAGATTCTTTAACAATAAGTATTTCATAGTCAAGACTGAGCAAGGTAACAGAGTTAGGTAACAATTGAGTTAACATTTTGTTTCACCTACTGGGATTTATGAAGAATGGAGGAAGAGAACTGACTGGGTTTATATTATATAACCTCAGTCTTCTTAATGAAGTAGAAGTGTAGGTTAGATGCTCTTAAGTGTGGAGGTAAGAGTAAAGATGAAGATGAGAGGGAAAAGTCCCTTCCTCCTTAAGATGAAGGCTATGAGATAAGGAAGTTCTTAGGGAATAACGCATGGATTGTCTAACAGCATTAAGGACCCAGCTGAGATGGTACAACTTTAATTTGTAGTAAGTGAAACTGATTCAATTACATGACTTTCTCCAGTGACTCTCCATAGCCCTGGAGCATGAGAAAAGAAGTCGAAAGATAAAAGTAAAAGTAGCTGTGGGAGGGGATTTTTCTAGTCAAATTTCAGATCTTGGAGGTAGATCTTGCTGCCTTCAGGAAATGGAGAGACCACCAAGTTAGTGCATAGATAAAGTAGGCTAGGCAAAATCACTTGAGCTGAGAAATTGTGTAGTCAGTCGGCTAGAGCAATCATCAAAATGAATATTGAAATTCCTGAAAGTGACAGCAAAGGATAGGGTGAAGAGGGAAGATTATGAGCTAGTCCTAACAGTCTCAGAGAAAGGAGAAAATCAGAAAAAAAAAAATAACCTGACAAATAAGAATGAGAATAAATCAGTCAATAAACAGTGAATAAACTATATATCAGGCACTGTGCTAAGCTTTAAGAATACAAAGAAAAAAGATAGTCTCTGCCCTCAAGGAGCTCACAATCTAAAGGGAGAAGACATCCCAAGAATAGAAGCTAAAAGAGGGAGGGGGAGAAGAAGGGAGCCAGCTCAGGGCATGATGAAGACCTGCAGCCAGGTGGGAAATGATAAGATAGTTGTAATGGGCCCCTTTCTTAAATAGCGGAATTCTCCAAAGTCTTATCCTTCATTCTCTCCAGTCATAGGGAGGGAGTTGCCCCAGGGCCAGGGGATACTGAGTTGGTGTGAGTTTCAGAGTTGATGCAGTGTTGCAGGAACATGAGCTGAAGTAGAAGTCCAGGACATCAACCACGTGGGAATTTATTCTCAGCTCCATTTTCTCTCTCTCTCTCTCTCCTCTCTCTCTCTCTCTCTCTCTCTCTCCTCTCTCTCTCTCTCTCTCTCTCTCTCTCTCTTTCTCTTTTCATGAGGTAATCACGGTTAAATGACTTGCCCAGGCTCAACAGCCAGTAAGTGTCATGTGTCTGAGACTGGATTTGAACTGCCATCCTCCTGACTCCAAGGCCTGAGCTCTATTCACTGTGCTACCTAGCTGCCCCTCTATTTTCTCTTCATCTCAAATCTTTCTAACATGGTTCATCACCCCCATACCCTTCATACCAATCTCTGATGAAGTGGAGGCTCTTTTCTGTATCAAGGTCAACCTTGACACCAACCCCTCCCATGTTCTTCTGAAGACTGCCCCCACAATCATCCCCATTATCTTTCTAATCTTCAAGTTCTGCCTGTGTACTGGTTCTCTGCTAGCTACAAACACTCCAAAGCCTCCTCATCTGATATCTCTCCTCCCTTTCTGAACTCCTTGGGGGGAAACACTGTATAAAGTAGGTACCTCCACTTTCTCATGCTCTTTTTCTAAATTCTCTGCAATGTGGTTTCTGGCCTCATTAACCAAAACTGCTTTCACCAAAGTTACCAGTGATGTCTTAAATCCCTAATCCTGGACTTTTTCTGTAGCATTTGACACTATTTACCTAGATGTCCTCTTCTTTTCCTTACAATCTCTTTATTTTTCTCCTATCTAATATATGTTTGTTGACTGACTACCTATCTAATTTCTCCTTCTCAATCTTCTTTGCTGGATCTTCATCCATGTCATACCCCCACCCAAGTCTCTGTCCCTGGTCCCTTTTCCCTTTACATGCTATACTTTATTTGATGATCTCATCAGTTCCCATAGATTTAATTATCAGTATTAAGCAGATGACTTCCAGATCTATTTATCCAACCCTAATCTCTCTCTTGAGTACCAATCCCATTACACTAACTGCCTATTGGACATTTCAAACTCTATATCCTCTAGGCATCTCAAACTCAGTATGTACAAAACACTAACTTTCCTCCAAAACCCACCCTTCTTCTGAACTTCCCTTATTACTGTCAAGAGCACTGCCTTTCTCCAAGGCACCCAAATTTGCAACCTCATTATCCTCCTAAGGCAAACACTTTCTTGAGGGAACTTAGATCTCTCCCCCAAAAGGGGAAGATGCCTGAAGAAGACACATTAAAGGAAACTGAAAAGGGAGATGAGATACCCACTTCGGGGCTAGGTAGAAAATATCCACAGAGGGAAGCTTCGAGAAGAATGAAGACATGGCTGGCCTGGGCATTTATTCCTTAAAATGGAGGCTCTGGGAGGAACAGCCAATTAAGAGAAGGGGCCCCTAGGTATGTGGAAGTTACACATTAATCCCTTCTATGCACAATGGAGCAGCCATAATGGCCTTCTTACTATTCCTCACAAACAAAACTCCATCTCCTTCTCCACACTTTTGCATTGTCTGTCTCTTATACCTGGAATGTTTCCCCTTCTCACTTTCACCTTTTAAATCCTTAACTTCCTTCAAAATTTAGCTCAAATATCATCTTCTGCAGGTCTTTCCTGGTGCTGTGTCCCATTTCTACCCCTTCCCCAAATTGCTAGTGCTTTCACTCTAAGGCTACCTTTTATCTTCTCTCTGGATATAGATAGATAGATAGATAGATAGATAGATAGATAGATAGATAGATAGATAGATAGACAGACAGATAGGGATCTCTTGTGCATTCTGACTTATGTACATTATTGAAAGTTATGCTTGACTCAGTGACCCATTGTTCCTAGACCTGCTTGTCAATCAGTGTTGGGGGAGATTCACCCAGTCTGCAGTTTTGTATTGCCTTATATTCATCATGTAGAAGGTCATC